CGAGAGCGCCCGCGCAGCGCCTGAACACAGGGGGGATCTCCCAGTAGCTGCCCCCCCCTTTGGACCTCCCGTGCCCGAAGCCCCCCCCACCCCCCCCCTCCCAGCTTTTTCCCCCCTCGGAAGCTTCCCCCCCCTTCCCCCCCCCTTTCGCGTTCCCGAAAGCTATGCCCGACTGCGCCGCGCCCGTTCCCTGCGACTACGCCGCGCCGACTGCGCCGCCGCCCCCTGCCCCGACTGCCTCCTCCCTCCCTCCCTCCCTCCCTCCCTCCCTCCTTCTCCTCCGCCTCCGCCTCCTCCTCCTCCTCCTCCGAATGTGCTGTCTGTAAGCTCGCACCTGTCCGCGGAGGAGGCCGAGGCCAGCGGCACGCCAGCGCGGCTGGTGAGCGGCAGCAGCTCAGCCGACAAGTTGGCGGCAGTGGCTGCCCGACTGCCGCAGGCGGTGCGAGCGAGGGTGATGCAGGCGGAGTGCGAAGCATTCCTTGTGTGCATGCGTCTCCTCAGGGCGTCGCTGGACGCGCTGGCTGTTGAGGAAACGGAGATGAAAGCGGACCGCCGCGAGCGGCGGCAGTGGACGGCCGGAGCTGTGAGTAAGGGAGTGGGATGTAGTGTTTCTCCTCCCCCTCCTCCTCGTCCTCCTCCTCCTCCTCCTCCTCCTCCGCGGGAAGAGGTGCAGCAGGTGTAGAGGCAGTGCTTCCCACGACACGAGGACGGAGTGGATGCGATCGGTTTGTTTCGACTTAGAGCCTGTTGATTCACATATTTTTCGTCTGCCGAGGGGGTTTAAGGTTCATCTAGGGGGCGGCTGGATCCACCCCACCCATTCTGCCCTCCACTCCCACCTCCGGCAAACGTGGATTTGCTCCGATTGTTGTTTTTTTTGGAGCTGAGCAGCTCAAGAAGAACCTGGCCTCGGAGTGTCCCAAGAAGCTCACAGCCACCACTCGGAGGTATCTGGATAATTTTGTCGCAGGGAAGCCGCTCAAGTCCTAAACGGCAGGAGCCAGGCATTCCTTGCTCCCCTCTTTTTTCTTTGATGGCTATGCCAAGGAGCCAATCCAATCCAATCCTCCTTCGTCCTCCGAACCCAGTTCCCATCGAGACGCTACTCGTGGACATATTTCTGGCGTAAGAGGTGGTATGCCCTCGGCCAGAGCAAGTTTGCCGTGTACTGAGGCTTTGTCTGCTATCAGTCGCCAGCTTGCCCTTTCTGATTCGGGGCGTCGGTGCCGTCGGTGTCAGGGAACCCCGTCGATCTCGGGGCTGCGGAATTGGCGCGGGTCCCCGTGCTTCAAGCTTGTGGCCTTAGAAGGGTCCCTTCGGGTTTTTCCCGGGGGAGGGAGCTGCACCTCGCGGGGGGGTACGTCCGTGCCACACATAAGATGAGGTATAGCCGAGATGTCAGTGTTTGGTTCTGCGCGTCCTGTGGAACATTTGGAGGTCAGCAGCTCTTGGGGTTGGGTATGGAGTGCGTGGCGAAGGCCGCCTCGACCCGACCTGTCTATCTCGATAGAACTCAAAGAAGTTTGTGGCCCAAGGTCTGTAATGCCGCTGAGAAGGCCAGGCGAGCCCACAAGGGACTCCCGTGTTGAGGTTTCTTGTTTTGGACATTGTCCTGGGATTCCTACCCGTATCCTCCTTATTCCTTATTCGAATGTACTCTTACTCCCCCCTCCGGCCGGCCGATAGGGGGTCCATCCTTCCCTCCCATCCTGTAACAGATCAATACACAATCATCGTTTTTCTCTCAACATGGTCTTTCTTGTCGTCGACGATGCGAAACGCGTAGCAGGGATAAGACGCGGGGCACATCGCGCGCGACCGTCTATCCGGGCCCTCCCATCCTAATTGTTAACATTCAATACAAAGTCGTCGTCTTTCTCTCAACATGGCCTTTTTTGGTCGTCGACGATGCGAAATGCGTAGGAGGAATGGGACGCGGTGCACATCGCGCGCGGACGACTGGGGCAACCCCCAGCGGGAGGGGCCATCCTACCTGTCAGAAGCCATACAAAGTCGGCATGTTTTTTCTCAGCGGGGATTTTCTTGTCGTCGGCTTAGCGAAATGCGTGGCAGGAAGGGGGCGCGGTGCACATCGCGCGCGACAGGGTGAAATGTCGCTCTCGGTTCGGCGCCGCGCGCATGTTTTCTTCCCGGGGCTTCCCCAGGGCCTCGTGGATCCTCCTGGAGCCTCCTGAGGCATCCTGGGATTCCCCGGGGGCTTCCCGACACTTCCTAAGGCTTCCTGAAACCTCATGGAATTACCTGGGGCTTCCTGGGCCCTCCTGAAGCCTCCTGGGGCTCCCTGGGGGTCGCTGGGGCTTCTCCTAAGGCCTCCTGGGGTTTCCTGAAGTTTCCTGGGGCCTCCTCGGCTCGTGCTGAAATGCCAGCGCAGTGTTTGAGACGCGCCAGGGATTTCTTATCGGTAACCGCCAGCGCGGCTGCAGCAGCTGTGGCAAACCACCTTGCCGATCCGATTTCGGTCCCCAGTTGCGCCAGCACTGTTTCTTATGTTGTGGGAGGGCGGGTGGGAATGGGCATGCCATGCTTGACTCGCTCGAGCTGGCTAGTTTGACTATCAATCTGACTCTTACTCCTCCTCCTCTTCCTCCTCCTCCTCTTCTCCTCCTCCTCTTCTCTTCCTCCTCCTCCTCCTCCTCTCCCCCTCCTCCCTTCCCGTCTCCCCCTTCCCCCGAGCCTCCCCCCTCCCTTCTCCTTCCGTCCCCCCCCTCTCCCTCCCCCCTTGGTCGAGCCCTCCCCCCTCGCCCGACGGCGCCGCCAGGAGCGCCGCCCCCGAGCTGACCGCCAGGCCGCGCAACCGCGGCAACCGGCCTCGGGCCCGGCGGGCGCGGCCAGGCGTTGGGGCGCTGGCGGGGGCGGCGCCCGGCATCCCAAGAGGAATGAAGAGGAGGGGGAAGCGGAGGAGGAGGAGGCGGAAAAGGAGGAGGAGGAGGAGGAGGAGGAGGAGGAGGAGGAAGAAGCAGAGGAGGAGGAGGACGAGGAGGAGGAGGAGGAGGAGGAGGAGGAGGAGGAGGAGGAACAGGATGATGATAATGATGATGATGATGATGATGATGAGGAGGAGGAGGAGGAGGAGGAGGTGCATTGTAAGCCGTATACTCATCAACGATGTTGGAAGAAACCCTCCCTCCAAGCTCCCTCTTCGGAGGCCCAATGCAAGTATTTAGCGCCTCTCAAAGAAACGCCCCGTGCGGAAACAACCTTTTTAACATTCTGAAGCGCGCCTAAATATCATTCTTGGGACTGCAGCACCACGAATCAACGTCACTGCTGCTTTGTGGCGATCTTGAAATTGCTCCCTGGCAGTCTTGAGTCGTTCCAGATGCCATTTGTGATATATGAAACTCTAGTACATATTCAAAGCGAGCGCACGCGGCGCCAAGGCGGGAACCACATGTTGGAAAAATAACCGCTATCGCACATATTGAAGACGAGCGTGCGCGGCGCCAGGGCGAAACCGACATTTTGAAAATCACCCGCCCTCCATCGGTTAAACTCTGATCGTGTTTTGAAGCGAATGTACGCGGCGCTAAGCCGAGAACCACAATTTGAAAAAGACCCGCCCCCAATCCGTGAAGCTCTATATGTGCCGAAAATGAATGTGCGAAGCGCTCAAGCGAGAGCCACGCTTTGAAAACGAAGGGGGGGGGGAGGGGGGGGAGGGGGGGGGGAGGGGGGAGGAGGAAGGGAAGAGGAGGAGGAGGGGGAGGAGGAGGAGGAGGAGGAGGAGGAGGAGGAGGAGGAGGAGGATAGGGGGCCGACTGCATCAGGTCTGACTACCTGCTCGACACTACGGCCGCCGCGCCGCGGGAGAAGAGCCCACTCCTGACCGCGGCCGAGGTGCAAAAGGCACTGAAAACAACGCGCAGCCCCAGAGGGCCGCGCTCGGCCTTTAAAGGGGCCCAAACCAGGAGGGCCAGCAGGGCCAGGGAACCCGCCCCAGGGGACCGAGACCCCGCAGACAAGACACTCTTCCCCCCCCCAGCGTCCACCTCCTCAGGCCTCGGCCTGCTTCTGCTCGTGGCTCGGCCCCTCCTCCCCGGCCTGCTGTGAGAGCCAGCTCTTGAACTCCTCCAACTTCGCCTGCCCTGCGTAGTTCAGGCCGTCGAATAAGCCGTCCGAAATGAGCTGCAGGAGCTCCCCGTAGGCGAACGTCAGTTCCCCGCTGGAGCCCGTGCCACCGCCGTCGCGAGAAGTCGACGCAGTCGACGCCCCCGTAGTCGTAGCACTCGTTGGTGCTCCTGTGGCCGATGCCGGGGACTTCTCTGCCACCGCCAACTCCGCGCCAGCGCGCTCGGTGCCAGCAGTCTCGTCCTCCAGCGTCTGCCCCTTGCCTGAAAAAAGCGCCGGATTTGTCGTGGCGTCGATGGCCTGCCACCTCCTCAGCCAGCGTCAGCTCCACGCCATAGCGCCTGACAGCAGCAGACTCCACCCACCTTGATGCTGCCCAGGTTCGGATTGTCATTGATGTGCACGAATCTGTCGCCGCCACCATCCGCGCTGTCGACGAACCCGTACCACTTCTTGAACCTATCTTTCTTAAGGCTGCCATGCTTAAGTTCCAAGTCGGAGCCCGCCTCCAGCACGTCAGACCTCGCACTCAGGGTCATCTCCTCCTCCAGGTCGTTGTTTTCCTTCATCTGCGCCGCATATTTGTCGTCGCCGGTGTAGAAGAAGTGCGTGTCCACCTTCTCCGTCTCCTCCGTCATGCCACTCGACCTTCACAGCAAGAACTTGGATATCTCCTCTGCCGACAGATCGCCCTCTACGCTGGCTCATAGGTCCTTGGGTGGCGATGCTGCCTCTTCTCCTTCTTGTCCGTCTTGTTGTGCTCCTTGTACTTCTTGTCTTTCTTGTCTTTCTTGACCTTCTTGTCCTTCTTGCCGCAACTGTTCTGCATCTCCTGCCCATCGCTGGACGCAGCTGCTGCGCCAAGAGAATGGCTGCGGGCCCTCCTCGCCGTCAGCCTCGCAGGCAGCTCCCAAACGCCAGGGGGCGGCTCGAGGCTAGGGAGCCTCTCGAGGTCTAGCAGCATCAGCTGCTGCTCGGGCGCCGCCGAAGGCTGCGGGGAGGGCCCCCTTGAAGGCCTGACCTTGGCCCGCGGCGGCTCGGGCGCTCCAGGCTGCGGGCGGGTAGCGTCCAGCGCGGCCCTGACCGACGTATGCACCGCCGCCGCGATTGCAACGTGGAAAATGCTCGTCGCCGCCCTCTCGGCTCGAATCCGTCGCCATGGGGCCTCCTCGGCAGCTGCCGTGCCGCCCCATCGCATCGCGGCTCCCACGGGCTGCGCCCCTCCCAAGTGCGCCCGCGGATGGCTCCCAAAGCCAGGAAGGGCTAAGAGGAGGAGGAGGAGGAGGAGGAGGAGGAGGAGGAGGAGGAGGAGGAGGAGGAGGAGGAGGAGGAGGAGGAGGAGGAGGAGGAGGAAGGAGGAGGAGGAGGAGGAGGAGGAGGAGGAGGGGGAGGGAGGGATGAGGAGGATCAGGAGAGGAGTAGGAGGAGGAGGAAGAGGAGGAGGAAGAGGAGGAGGAGGAGCAGGAGGAGGAGCAGGAGGAGGAGGAGGAGGATGATGATGATGGGGAGGAGGAGGAGGAGGAGGAGGAGGAGGAGGAGGAGCAGGAGGAGGAGGAGGAGGAGGAGGAAGAGAAGGAGGAGGAGGACGAGGAGGTGGAGGACGAGGAGGAGGAGGAGGAGGAGGTGATGGGGTCCAAGCGTTGCATGAGGTGCTCCTGTGTCGTGCAGTGTTCCGGAGGTGCCAGGCACATTGGAACATCGAATTGTATTTCGGCGGCTAGTGGTGGGTCCATGATGCGTGCTACTGGTCGGGTCGATCGACCTGTTGGCTTTCCTGGCGGCCTACGTTGGAGGTCAACTGGCGATGCACCGAAGGCGATGAACTGACGCTTCAAGTAATGAGTCAGCAGCCACCGCATGCCATTCTATGGGCTGATCGGCCAGGTCCCTCTACGGGCGTATCGGCCCTGAAGGCCGTTCCATGTGGGCGGATCGGCCTTGGAGGTCATTCCATGGTCTGCTTTCGCGGCTGAGATGGCAAATATGACGCCTCGGACGAATGGCATGTTTTCACACCCGCCCACGATGCCCATACCTTCGAAGGCCAGGCTTAGGTCGGGCCTGTCCGCCCACAGGCGGATTTTGAAAGAACAATGAATCATGGTCAAACATGATGAAGAGCAGGCAAACGAGCACGACAAATCGTCACCAGACTGTCTTTTACCATTCTTGAACCTTCCTCCTGCAGAGAGACATGCCTGACTTACGGCCAGGCCCTCCATCCGAGCCTCCCGGAGGTGTTCCCCAGGGGGTGCTCGGCGGCGGCGGCCCGCACCGCCGCGGACACCTGCCGGAGGCGTGCTAGGGGAGGCGGGAGCCTGGGGCCCGCGCGAGCAGTCCTGTGGACGTGGAGAGCTGCGGCTGCTCTCCTGATGCCCCCTGATGGGGCAGGTCTGACAGGGCGAATCTGGCAGCTGTGCGCTCTGGTAGGAGGCTCCCCTTGGTGGTCAAAGATCAGCACGTTGTAGGCGAACGCGTGTGTGGCAAATGTCGTGAGGTCATCCCATGGCCTGCGCCCGAAGACACAAGTGTGCGATACTTGCTGGAGCCGGCGTTCGGTGGTCTAAGTTCCCGCACCACGTGCAGAGGCATGCGAAAATCCATGCGGCTGGAACCTTGAGGTCCTGAGCTCTGAGGGCCTCTCCAGGCAACATCGGGCGGGAGCTCTTCAGGCGAGGCGCACAATTTTCGGGAGCGGGGGGAGAGGAGCGAGGCGAAGCCGTCAGTGAAGAGCGAGGATGGATGAACATAAAAGGGCATAAACATGAACTTTCGGAGCTCCGCGCGGATTTCCGGGATCGGCGCTGGACACACCCTCCCTGGCGCGCGGAGCGCGCCAGGGGCGGCGCTGGAGGCGCCGCCAGGAGGCTCCAGCGCCGATCCGAGAAATCCGCGCGGAGCTCCAACAGTTTATGCTTATGTAGTTTTTTTGTAGGTTTTCCGAAAATCGCCAAGGAAGAACGAGGAGGCAAGGCAACGGTGCAGGTGGGTCAGCAAGCGGACTCTGGGGGTGTCCCGCAACGCATGCTGTGCGCTCTGCGCGGCCAGGGCCAAGCGTCACTGTGGCAAGGACTCCCGGGAGAGCGGTCTGATATGCATGATTCTAAAAACCCTGAACCCCAAAACATTTGCCATCCTTTAGGGACGCATCTTTTACTTACGCTGGCTTCCGCTGGCGGAACCGCCCCCGTTTTTCTTCTGCCGCCTTCCGCCGACCTTCCCCAGCCTTCATCCGAGGAAGAGATGCCAACTCCTGCGATCCTTGAAGGCGAGGCCCTTTATGGAACGTCTAATTTGTGCGCACAGTGGGGGGCGAACGCCCAAGCTCAGGGGAGATCCATCCGCCTTTTCAGAACGCGCGCGTCACCGCGAGCTCACCTTCAGCGTAGAAGGCGAACCGAATCAGAAGAGCACGCCACCCAGGGAAGGTCTTCAGAGCGGAACGCAGGAGGATGGCGAGGGAAAGGGCAGAGAGGCTTTGAATGCGGGAGCCTCCCCAGAATTGACGGGCTGTCTAATCTCGCCGCCGCCCCGGTGAACAAGGGAGCCGCAGGAGCCTGGTGAGGACATTGAGCTCAATGCGGGTCACGTCCCACGGGAGTGGGAGGTTCTGCGACAAGAACGCGAGAGGGGGGGTTCACGACTGCACTACAGGAAAGCCGAGAAATTAGCACCGCCCCCCCATCGCCGCGTACTCTGCTGCCCGTGACCGCCACTTGGCGAGGCACGCCTGGGGATTACCATCTATCGGAGCCTTTGGCCCGATCTAAGCACCAAGGTAGAACCCTGGGCCTTGCACTCTGAAGTCCCCCAGCCTTGGAAAGCCCTGCGCAGGCGCTCTCGCACACTCGAGACGACTCCGGCATTTGCAAGTGCGCCAGACGGGGATGGCGAGGCATTTCTTGGGCTTTGACGGGCCGTCTCCACATGTGAGCAAAGCCCCTGGGAGAAGGCATCCCTGCATGACCTCAGCGAGCGATCAGGAGGGAGAGGATGATGAGGAGGAGGAAGAAAACAAACAGGAGGAGGAGGAGGAAGAGGAGGAGGAGGAGGGGTAGGAGGAGGAGGAGGAGGAGGAGGAGGAGGAGGAGGAGGAGGAGGAGGAGGAGGAGGAGGAGAATGAGGAGGAAGACCAGTGTAAACTCAAGACACATCACAGATGTTGTAACAAACCCTCGCCCAGGCTCCCCCTCCATAGGCCATGACAAGGATTCATTTCCACTGAAGGGAGTGCCTTTGGAGACAACCGTTTGAAGATCTTGAAGCTTGCCAAAACAAGATTCTCGGGACTGCAACGCCACGAATGAACCTGACTGTTGCGTCTTGGCGATCCTGCATCGTGCCAGAACACCGTTCCTGTGACTTCAACACCGCGAATCAGCGGAATTATTCCGCCCTGGCAATCCTGAGTCGTTCCAAAACGTTGGTTCTGGTGCGTTCGCCATGGAAACCAGTGAAACTCTGGAGTTTTCAAACGCGTGTGAGCGGCGCTGAGGCGAGAACCTCATTTTGAAAACGAACCGCCCTCCACCTGTGAATCTCTTTCACATCAAGAACATGTGCGTGGTGAGCAAGCGAGAACCACATTTTGAAAACGAGCCGCCCTCAATCCGTGAAGCTCTTGCGTTTTTTAAGACGAGTGTGCGCGGCGCTATGGCGAGAGCCACATTTTGAAAACGAGCTGCCCTCAATATGTGAAGCTATTGTCAATTGTTAAGCTTCAAGGTCATTGGTGGCAAAGAAATCTTAGGCTGGACGCCCGGAAAAGGAGGAGGAGGAGGAGCAGGGTGAGCGCCCGTCGGAGGCCCCTGTTGGAGGTTCCAGTCGGAGGCTTTTCAAAACACCCTTCGGATGCCTCGCACAACTCCCACTCCTCCAGCCACCTCCGCTTCCGCATCCACCTCCTCCACCTCGACCTTATCCTCCTCCTCCGCCCCCCGCCTCTTCCTTCACCTCCTCTTTTTGCTCACTCCCGAAATGTCTGGCTCATGCAACGTCGGGGGCGACAGGCAGAATCGGGACACTGGAGCAGCGACGACCAATATCAACCCTCGCCTTCTCCTGGTCCTCCGCCTCCAACGCCCCCCCTTCTCGCCCAACTCCTCCTTCTCTTCCCGATCGGCATTGCGAACTCACACATCCAAACGCATTGAGAAAAACAACTTGCAATGGGGCAGCGCTTCCCAACCGTGCACTTACCACGCCAACGCATTGCCATGGGGCTTGTTTCCAAGCGTCCCAGCTTTGAAGCGTCCTTTGGAACCATTGTGGGCCGCATGAGCGGAATTAGCCACGCCGCCCACCTGGAGCTGGCCGCTTTGCTCTGCTGTGCTCCTTTGCTTCGGCGAGCGTGGCAGCCTTGGCGCTGAGCCTGTGCAGCTTCAGAGCACGCTTAGCAACCCCAGAAGCGACCGAGCAGAGGTGTTCGAACACTTTCTGCAGTGCTCACTCCTAGCCAACACCTCACTTATGGCCAATCCAGGGGGTTGAGCCCGCGCACCCACCCGTTCGGCCGCATGGTCGGCTGCCCCATTGACTAGCCGACGGGCTTGGGAAATCCTGTCTCGCTCCCCAGTCTCGGGAGAAGCGTGTGATCTCACCGTGACCATGTTGCCTGTTGACCTGCCTACCTTCAGGATGCCTCCAAATTTTACGCCAGGCCGCTCTATCAACCTTCCCTTTGGGAAGAAGCGCGGACGACGACGGCGCTACCGACATTTAGCGTGCTCGGACCGTGGGTCTGTCGGAGCTCTGGCAGCGGCACGCTATGCTCTGCCTGTCGCCAGGATGTGCCCCATGGTCTAACCCACCAGGGTGGTTCCACTGAGTGCAACAACGCCCTATCCATGCCTTTGACGCATCCTGATACCCCGGTCGACTACTTCCACCCCGACCTATCCGAGCACACCCAATGTCCCAGCTGGAGCTCCATACCTTCTCATGCAGCCGGACGCGGGTCTTTGCGCGCGCGCTGGACGCCACCCACTGACGCCGAGAAACCACACCAAGAATGTGTCGTGCTCCTTCACCTCCGCCGCCGCTTCCACCTCCTCCTCCACCACTCCTTTTCCGCCCTCCTCCGCCTCCACATCTCCCTTATGAGTCATCCCCCTCCCAAGCCGACGGACGCCACCGATTTGATCCCCGAGCGAGATAGATAGCCCAGACAAAGCTGCAGTGCCTAAGCTCTGCTGGGCTTCTACCCTCACTCTCAAGAAGTATTCCTTTGAGCGACGTGTCCCACGTATGCCTGTAGTGATGTCAGTCTCTTTGGACACTTGAGCGGGTAACATAATCGCGGCAACACAGCTAGAGTTGATGGGCAGATGGTGAGCTTCAAAGAAGACATCCAACGGTCCGTAATGCGCCTGCGTGGCCAGCGCCACCACGAGGTCTCTGTAGCACCCTGTGGCTACCCTCTCCTCAGATATCCCTCTTGTGTTGTTTGGGCTCTGGCGGCAGTGCTTCAAACTTCAGTGCAGACTGCTGCGGGACAGTGATGTCGCACCGCTCGTGGCTGTAGATTCGCACAACTGTCCACCTTCGAAGGGTCATTCTCGTGCTCGTGCTTCTCACGTGATAAGGCGGGAAGAAAGGCAACTTGTCCTATCGGCAATGCCTGTCTGGCTGCCGTGCAGGTGCCGTGCAGCTGGGAGGACGGCACACTTCTTCTCGAGGTGTCGGGCGGCTCGCCTACTTTATACCTATGGTGCAGGGCCGCTTGGAAGGCGGCGCAATATCTACTGGTTATGTGACGCTGCCGTTTATCTTTGCTCCTCTTATCGCGTCCCTCACTTGCCAGTGCCATGCAAACGCCAGCGGAGTGACGGCGCACACCTCTGAGGTGTGACGGGCCTTCGCACGTCTTCCATCAATGTTGGTGGTATCGACCGCCCTGGAGGGCCCGTCGCTTCATGACTAGAGAGGCCTGTGCTTCCCCTCCTCACAATGTGCACCGATGGAAGTCCGCGGGAAGCAGACAGGTACGCAAAAGAAGCGACGTATCTGTTACTCCCAAGACTGGGTCGTGTGACGGTGCGGCATCTCGATCAGCGCGCGTGCAGGTGTTCAGGATGGTGTCGGGTCGGGGGCACCTGTATGGGACCCTGGTCGCAAGCGAGGCCGTCGAGCTACTGAGTGTGGATCCGACCTAGCTGGTCAACGGCGCACGCGTCGAGCAGTCCCTCCCCCCTCCTCTATGTGTGCCCGCGTCGTGACCCCACTCACACCTCCTCTTGTGCCATCGCTCCCTGCCCCATCGCCTGCGATCTCGTCCAGCCCAGCGTCGCTGACCTGGCCGGCAGCAGATACAGCCCCGATCACCAACCAGTGCGTCGACCACCGCCGCCCCTGAAGCCGCAGCCGCCGCTCCCCTTCAGCCTGCCCTGCTGTTCGGAAGCTGGGCGAGGGCTGGTAAATCCGTGGCTGCTAAGACGGTCTTTCCCGGAAAAAAGTAAATTCCTGGAATAAGACTCAGCGCATACAATAGTGAGCGGGCTGCTTCCCGGACGAAAAACACAATTTCCCGGAGCTCCGTTGTAGCAGCCACGGGATTGCCAGCCTTCGCCTGGCTTCTGTGCTGTCTTCGCGCGCCACGTCCAGAGCAGGGAGCCAGCGCGCGCCACTGGTGCTGCAACACGCCCTTTCGCCCCCGAGCCCCCTCTTCATGAGTTTCCGCGCATGGTTCCCTTCACTGCGACGGGCACCAGCTGGAAAGGTGAGTGCTCCATGGACGTGCCTTTGCCACGAACAGCCAGGAAATGCAGATCGAGACATCCACCGACCCTGAGGGGGGCCATCCCACACGCGCGCGACACGGACAGGCCAACACAACGAGACGCGTGCATTGCAAGTCGTAGCAAACGTGGCCAGAGCCCTGTCAGTGTTTCGAAGTGCGCGTGAACCATCCTATTCTGACCCGACTGTGGAGCCCTGCGAAACATAATGAATGTGAGAAGGCGTCGCCCTCCATCCATGTGGCTGGCAACAACTGAAGGGGCCCTGGGACACACAAATAAATACACAAATGACAAGATTCCCCATTTTTTCAATATTTTCCGGGTTTCTGTCTTCACCCCCACTTCCCATATTTTCCCATATTTTCTGGGACATCGACGATTAATTGTGTCTGTGTGTCTTTTTCCCTCCTGAACAACGCAAAAACGAGCACCCGGCTTTCGAAACGGACCTCCCTCCATCCGTACTCTTGCTGAAAGTCTGATGCCGTAGTATTCTCAGTGCAGGGGCCCCAAACGGTCTTACTTTCTCCCCGCGCGCGAGCGCGGCTGGATAGGAGGGCGGTCTCTGGGGCGACATTTGAAGGCAACGTTTGGATGGGGACGTTTGCAGGCCTGATGGTATCGAGAGCACGGTTTTGAGAGGGATCCGCCCTCCACCCCTGGACCCCTGAGAAGTTCAAGCTCTACGGATGGTTATATGCTCTTGGGAAATCTCACTCGAAGTCCAATTTTGAAACCGGGGCCGCCCTCGGTGTGTCTACCTGTTGGACCTCCAACACTTTCTGGCCGCAAGCTCGGAGAAATTGCAAGCCCGAGCCCATTCGTGTAATAGTTCGAGGAACACAAATTCATGATCACTGCGCCCAGATACTCTCAATCGCTAACAACCCTTTGCAACGCTACCACCCGACGCGTGTAATTGTAGAACATGTTGAAAGCGACTTCGCACGGTACAGATGAGGCGATCACAGCATTTTCGGAATGGACCGCCCTCCACCAGTGTAATTCTTGTAAGCTTTGGGGCAAGCGTGCGCGCTGTTGAGGCGAGGACCACTGCATCAACAACTGGCCGCCTCTGCCCGTGCAGCTGCTGAAGACTTTGAAGATGACGCACGTGCGCAGCACCAGTGTGCGAAAACCACATGTTGGGAACCAGCCGCCCTCCATCCGTGCTACTGTTTGAACTTTCAGGCTCTCGGATCACACGTTGTGGGGACGTCTCGGGCGAAACGGTTGGGCCGCCCTACCCAACACTTTTGCGATGGTGCGAGGGGTGTAAGAGGCGCGAGAGAACGAGACGAGAGAAGGACGAGGACGGCCTACACCTCGATCTCCACCGTTGAGGGTGTGCCCGACTCCTGCGTGGTGGCAGTGCCCCCCACGACAGTGGAGTGCAAGTCGCCTGCGTGTGCCGAAGAAGCCGTCGAACCGCACAGCGGAGTGGCCACGTGAGGCCGCTCGGGCGATGTCGATCCCTCCACCTCAACCCCATTCGCTCTGAATGCACACCCTCCGATGTCGCCTGTGTGCCCTTGCTGTTCTCTGCCCTCCTCCCCCTCCTCCCCCACCTCCTCCTCTCCGTGGGCCAGCACCGCGAGGCGAGGCGAAGCGAGCGCGCGATGTCGGCGCGGAGGGGCAGGCCCTACGAGGGCAGCGCGGGGGGGGAGGGGGGGGGCGGGGCACTCCGTAGACGCGTTGCGAGCAGGAGTCGGAGTCGGAATCGTGGTGCCTCGGTCGGAGACGGGGAAGTGAGCTTGCTTGCTGCCGTTGCCGTCGTCCGTGTAAGCACCGGCCACAGGTGCTCCAAAGTCTAGCGCCGATTCGGGAGCGGCCAAGAGGGGGGTGCCCAAGCAGGGAAGCCCATCATCATCCTCCTCCTCCTCCTCCTCCTCCTCCTCCTCCTCCTCCTCATCATCATCATCATCATCATCATCATCATCATCATCATCATCTTCATCATCATCATCATCATCATCATCATCATCATCATCATCATCATCATCATCATCATCATCATCATCATCATCATCATCATCATCATCATCATCATCATCATCATCATCATCATCATCATCATCATCATCATCATCATCATCATCATCATCACCACCATCATCCTCACCATCATCACCATCATAATCACCATCATCATCATCATCATCATCATCATCATCATCATCATCATCATCATCATCATCATCATCAT